ATAGTAGAAATGGTGGACCCACAGTCTTGTACAGGATCACAAATCCTGTCTTGCTCCATCTGACTTTCATGGGACTTTCATATGGGAGATGATTTTACAATGTTGACTAAAACTCTGGGATAGAAAAGCAGGGTTTTCTCCCCCAAAACTGACTCTTTCAGGGGAGCAGATCCTATTTCATCTGTGTCGATTAGCCAAAATAATAGGTGTATTTACCTCCTAACCATTATTCTACTACCCCCTAAAGTGCTGGGTGAGTACTGGTACACATTAAGAGTCATAAGGTCATCATGCTTCAGTAGAATGCTAGGCTGGGGAGTGTACCATAGTGATGGACAGAGATTATACATCCATAAAGCACTAGTGCTGATCACAGCCACTCACATAACTGTCATGGGAACAAAGTCCTGCAGTTTATAAGCTTGATTGTTTTAATGGAGAGACTCATTCAGATGTCACTTTAACATGGTCCTCTCCCCCACAGCCTGTCTTAGTGACTTCCTCAGTCTCCCTCTAATCTTGGTTCTGTAACTGGCCAGGTAACTAACTACCATTCTCCTGTTTTGCCAGAGGAGTTTTCACCAAGACTGTTGATAAGACTCTTCCCCAGATGACTTCCCCCTCTTTTAATGGAGCACAAAAAAGGTTTGTCTGACCTGTTCTCAGTCAAGGTCTGCTTGAGCTATTATTCAACATTAACTAGGGATCAGGTTTTGATTTTGGACAGTGTACATGGGTTCCCATGGATCTCCATTACATTCTGGAACAGAGGGACATTTAAAGGAAAAGCCTCATTTCCACCACCTCCTATAATTCACAGAGGATGAAGCCTGTTAATAGTCACATAGATTAGACAAAGTGAAGGAAACTGGAAACAAACCCTACGATATTTTATACAGTAAAAAACACAGACTCTGGTCAGTTGAAACTACTTGCATAATTATACTGAATTCAGCAAATTGTTGTGGATGGGGTCAAGTGATACAAAGACAACTGAACTGACCCTGCCCATTTAGAAGGGTCTCTCTTCCCAGAGCAAGGTAAATTGAGTGCTTGAAAGCCACAACACACCTACGAATTAATCCCTTTATTGTCCAAAAGAAAGCATTGTTAAAAGAGGTCTCTGCTGCCAGAACATTATCTGTCTTTGAAACAGGGTAGCATAATTTGGTGGGTGGGGAGTCCTGGGTCAAATAGGATAATTCTCAGCGGTGCTTAGATCTCAAATCTCAGCCCAGGGCACCTTAAAAGACCAATGTGCTTCCATACTTTGAACACTGTTAGCTAAACTCATAGGTAGAATCCACTGTGTCACTCTCCTCTTGTGAAATGTTCTCAGGTGTGCTTGGGGGAGACACTGGCAAGAGGGTAAGAGGTCATGAGTGTCATGTTAATAGATGTTGATCTGTGTTTGTCTACAGCACTGTAGCTAAGAGTGCCAGCTTCCCACGTGTCTCCTCCAGAGTCAAGATGACAACTGAGGATTACAAGGAACTGTGAGTGTACTGAGAAAAGCAGTGCTCTCCTTATCCAAGTGCTAAACAGCTGCGTCTAGGCCATAGCTTGGCACAGTAACCTGGATGATGAAGCCACCTGTGAATAAATGCCCAGTCAGGCCAATCATTCCATTTGCTGAACTGTTCCAGCACCCTTCATTATAAAGGAAACTGCTGCCTAGTACTTCCTCAGGGCTTGAATGAGACTTACATGGCACCTTGACCTTCTACTGGCCTTCTGCCTGAGGTGACTACCGTCCCTAGTGACTCCAGCTGGGACAGGAGGCAGAGGCCCCCCACAAAAGGGAACTTGCTCCATAGTATTGCTGGCCTTCCTGCACCCAGGAAAATGCAGAAATCCCTTAACAGAGCCATGACAATTTCAGCCTAATTTTTTTAGATCATGGTTGGCTGTGATCTAAAGAATCCCTGAGAAGTAGCTGAGCATGCAGCATTCCTATCTTTTGAGGCTAAAGCCCTATATATATCAGGAAAATCTTAGAGGTGTGTTTTCATTGTGGTGCATGGGAAATTAAAGTGCCTCTTAACTATGGTGAGGCTTACAGTAAATGAATCCTACCCCTCTGTACTGTGCTGAAGTGTGCCCCAAACTGTGCTGAAATTTACCCTCTGTACTGTGCTGAAGTTTACCCCAAACCATCAAATCTGTTCATTTGCCTTGCTCTAGGCTGCTTCAAAATCTGTTGTTTAATGCCTGCTGTTTTCAGTTCCTTTAAGACTGCTTACAGAATCAAAACCATTAATGTAGTTCTCCCCTTCTCCCTCGGATTTCAGGGCTGCGTATAATGTGAAGCCAACATCAGCAGATTTAGATGAAGAGGAGCTACCTTTTAGTCTAGATGAACACAAAAAGAGGTACAAACTGCTGGAGTCAATCTATTTTCAAGCAGTGGTTGTGGGGCTTTGGGGCAAATGGACCCTGCTGAGTATAACTCTTCATTACTGTAAGGGTCAAGCTTATGAAAATTTTAGCTGAGTTATTGGGACTGATTGCAATGTAATAATAATAATACACTTCTATATAGAGCACATCAGTGCCACAGGCAGCAGGGCTCCTAACAACATATAATTAAAAGCCTGACATGATTCAAAATGACAGCATGGCCCAATTAATTTCTTAGCTGGTGAGGGGGGAACAGAGAACCCGTCAACTGCAGGCTGTATAAGTTAAAGTATGGAAATAATGGTGCATAGGCACAGAAATATTCTGGCAGTGAGGTGAGCAGTCTACCAGTATCCATGCCCTCCTTATGCCAGGATCTCAAATCAGAACAGTTTTTGGATTTGGATATACATCAAATTAGAACTTTATAGCTCAGGCCCCTATTCAGTTTTCACATCATTGTTAGGAAATGTGCTTCCCCCATAATGATGTTGTTCTTGAGACACTGCCTTGAAGACAGACAATCAGAGTTCCTGATACTTTATGTAAGATTTGCAGAAATACCTTGTTTCAGGGAAAGGATTGAAAAACAGAGTGACCAGCCCAGTGTGCATAAAAAAATTCCACGTCTTACTCACACATCCATGCTTCCCCTGCCCAGACATTGGGCAGTGAACCTTTTGAGTGAATCTGTAGAGACACCCAGTCTTTGCAATATTCCAGCTATGAGGCCAATACCCCATTCTCTGTACTTGTTCTGTTGTATTATGTACTAATATATTGCGTCCTCATATACCTTCATCCTATAAACTCTTTGTGTCCTTGGGCAGTAATCCCTTGTGATAGGGACTCTGTTTTTTGATCTTTCATACATTGCAAAGCTCTATGTACACTCATGGCACAGTATAAATGTTGTAAGGGATGTAATTAATATCTTTGCACTGAGTTCCACAGCTAGATAAAGAATAGAGATAGATATAACATTGTTCCTGCTCTTGACTTTTACTTGATTTAGGCCCTTCCAAGTGCCTGGTCTTTCAGAGTTGGAGACCAGCCGTCAGTGACTTGTTCACTTTTAGTCCTCTGTATTCTCCGCTTTCTCTCTTTCAGCAACATCATTAAAATTTGTCCTTTTCCTTCCTTTACAGAACAGAGGCAGCCAACAATGTGCTGAAGCGCACAGCTAGCAAGGAGCGTGCTTATGTCCTGTCAGCTGCCAAGAAAAGCAGTGGGTGAGTTTCTAGGGCAGGTTTGGGGGGACTGAAAGAGAAACTATTCATCAGTGTTCCACCTAGCTATGGTCCAACCCAAAGCACTATTAAAGGCAATGAGAATCTTAACATTAATTTCCCAAGACCCTTGATGAGAAACACCAGTGAGAGCTTGCACTCCATACACTGGACATCTTGAAAGTTCTCCCCACCAGAGAGGGAAAACATTTATGGAAAGAAACTCATCATCTTTTTTTTTTTTAACACTCTACTAGATCCATATCTTCAGGTTTGATGTTTCAGTAGCAATGCTAACAGCTTGCTTTTCCCAAACCAGTATTATTGCAAAAGATAGCAGGAGAGAAGGGATTGGTGAAAAACCAGTATGGGACACCCAACCACTTTCAAAGAAACTGGAATCCAAGCAGGATTTGGATCCAGTTCACATAAACTCGTTGGGGAAAAGAACAGTTTTCACTCTCTTCGTGAATAGTGCATAGAATGACGTGGCCCCCATTTCAATTATAGTCCGTTGACACTACTGTAAAACAAAAGCTGTAGCAGTAAGTATGTGGATGCATAAAATATTTCTGGTGTATGAGACTTCTACATCCTTCTCTTTCATGTGGGCAGTAATGGCAGGTGTCAATAGCTGAAGTAAGATTGATTTCTCAGGAATACTGACCTCAATCTCTGCTACTCAGACTTGTGTTATCATTTTTTCTCCTGGTATAACTCAGGATAGTACAGTGAGGCAGCAGGGCGGGTGTCAGCACATGGGAAGGAATAGGACAGCCAAGGAATAGGTCTGCTGTGATAGACACTGGCCAAATTGAGCAGGGATATAAATGGTTATTTAAGTTACCCAAGGATGATAAGACAGGGTAGACTTCACTGTATACAGTTCAGTTGGTGGGCTAAATAAGTATATTATATGACAAGAGGATAGGCACATGTGTAATAAAAACACACTATGAGAAAGGTAGAAAATAAGAAGTGGATATTTGTGGAGATTTTACACTGATTTCACCCTTCTTCTGTATAAATTGCATGGTATTTGCATGTTGAGTCAATGCCAAATCTGTGCAAAATGCCACTTAACCCCAGTTGCCCTATGTTTAAATGTTAGCATTGCCCTTCAGGTCCCAGCTGAATTTGTTCCATGAAAACTGTTTCTATACAAGATCTGAATTTGCCTACTGTTCTTCTGTCTCCTTTACAGAAGCCCTACACAAGAGTTGCCACCTTTATTTGCCAAGAGGTGAGTCCTTGGCTATGCGCTCCATAAATTATTCTGAAGCTGCCTCTTTTAAAATATAGTCTTAATATTTGGGCTGGTCCTAAGTGTCGGGGGGTTGAAGTTTCCAGATGGTGTCAGACTGGGAGCAGGGAAAGTCCCAAGATATGATTGGCTCTTCTGACTGGGTTGAGTCAAGTAGGGGACTGATGGTATTGATTTGGTTTGCCAAGAAACCTAAAATTTAGGGAAAATAATAGGGACTGACTTCCCTTACTCTTCCAGGAGAGACTGGTTCCTGCAGAAAAGGCCACCACTGCTTTTTTAACTTTCTAAGCAGTCAGTCCCACAAAGCAATTGTGGAAAAGAGGATGCTCCTAACCCTAACTAAAAGTCAATACCTCACCTCTGTATAAAGAATCCACATAATCATAACAATGCAGTTAGTGGTGATCAGATTTCCCTGGTTTTCTGATTTTCACCAAAATTAAGATTCCAACTGATCTTTCCTAGAACACTTTCAGCAAGGTTGGAATTGATGTGAAGGTATCTTCAAAGTTATCTTGCGACAGACAAATAGTGAAATATCATCTATTTGATTTGAATGGCCTCATTCCCCTCAGAAGGAGGGGAAAGGTGGCACCTTATAAACTAAGTCATTCAGAAATGCATAGGCTTCAGTCTATTAACAACACATTCCCCTATAATGCAGCTGGTGGAGTTCCAAGGAACAGAGACGAAGTTTTCCTTCAAGATGAAAAAATAATCTACACAAGCAGAAGGAAAAATAAAAAGTTAAAATAATTGTGTGTGTGTGTGTGTTTATATGAAATGGAAACAATGTAATCATCATATTTTTATTTTGTTTCCTGAAAGAGTTGAAATTGAGGAGGAAGAAATGCCACACCGCAAGAATCGGAGTTTAGCTGCTTCATCGAGGTTTAGTGCTGCTGACACCAGGTAGTGTCTTCACCTCTTGATTACAGAAGGGAGAAGGGGGGGGGGGGGCTGGAGGCATTTCTTACTTGGTCTTCTAGTCTAATATCAAATATGAGTCTGATCAGAGTTAAGACAGAGATGCCCCAAAAGGACCCACCCATAAAAACATCATTTGTCATTCCTGATAGAAAATAAGGGTTGGAAGGGACCTTGAAAGATCATCGAGTACAACCCCCCGGTCTGGGCAGGAATACTGCTGAAATCAAATAGAATCATAGAATCAGTGAGTCGGAAGGGACCTAGACAGATCATCTAGTCCGACCCCCTGCCATGGGCAGGAAGGAGCACTGGTGGTGGCAGGGGTCATAAGACCCCAGCCCAGGTGCCTAGCCAGTCTCCTCTTGAAGATCTCCAGGGAAGGTGAGAGCACCACCTCTCTGGGAAGCCTATTCCAGGCTCTGGCCACCCTTACAGTGAAGTAGTTCTTCCTAGTATCTAACCTAAACCTATCCTCCCTCAGCTTGTGGCCATTGTTCCTGGTGACCCCAAGGGGGGCCCTGGTGAACAGACTTTCCCCGAGTCCCTGCTGCTGGCCCCTGATAAGGTTGTAGGCAGCCACAAGATCCCCCCTCAGTCTCCTCTTGTGGAGACTGAAGAGATTCAGGTCCCTCAGCCTCTCCTCATAGGGCTGGCCACGGAGGCCCTCAACCATACGAGTGGCCTATTCTGATCCCAGCAAGGTGTCTGTCCAGTCTCCTCTTGACTTCCAGGGCTGGGGACTGCACCACCTCCTTGGGAAGTCTATTCCAGATTCTGGTCACCCTTACTGTAAAGAAGTTTTTCTTTACATCCAACCTAAAACCAGTTTATGACCATTGTTCCTTGTCCTCCTCTGGGGTGCCCTTGTGAACAGTTTTTCTCTCAGCTCCTGATATTCACACCGTACATACTTATAGATGGCCACCAAGTGCCCGCTTCAGTCTTCTCTTCCCCAGGCTGAACAGTTCCAGATCCCTTAGTCTTTCCACATAAGGTTTGTCTTCCAGGCCCTTAATAATTCTTGTGGCCCTTCTTTGGACCCTTTCAAGATTCTCCATGTCTCTTTTGAAGTGCAGCACCCAGAATTGGACACAGTACTCCAGCTGGGGTCTCACCAGCACTGAGTAGAGAGGAAGTATCACTTCCTCAGCCCTGCTCGCAACACATCAGCTAATGTATCCAAGTATGTTATTAGCTCTGTTGACTACAGCGTCACACTGGCAGCTCATGTTTATTCTGTGATCAGCCATAACCCCAAGGTCCTTTTCAGCCATCGTGCTGGCCAGGACATTTCCTTCTAACCTATATTCGTGTTGCTAGTTACTTTTCCGCAGATGAAGCACTCTGCATTTATCGTTATTGAACTGTAACCAGTTCTGCTCTGCCCACCTTTCCAGCTTGTCCAGGTTCACTTGGATCTGCATCCTATCCCCTAGGATGACTGCTTTTCCCCATAACTTAGTATCATCTGCAAACTTGAGAAGGAAGCTACTTATTTATGCTAGTGTTACTTACATAGGTTTTGTACAGCTGTGTACATTAGGACAGGATCCAGAACAGAGATAGCTGTCCCAGCATAGCACATGCAGCATTTAATTATTACAGCACCTGCCTCTAGGTGGTAGGGAACAGGTAAAAGTCTGCTTCCCTTGAGCAAACCAGTATCCTGGGATACATTGCAAACAGATGACATTTACAGTTGTGTAATTTTACTCCTGATTTTTCCTGGGACAGGTCTTCATTAGATTCAATTACATTACACCAATACAGAGCTCTACATCTGCTCCTTTTTTACACCAGTATAAAGGTCAACTACTCTAGTCTAAACATGTTATGGGAGGAAAAAGAGCAAGGGTGTGAATGAGGCCAAACTAGTTGGAAGGTTTTACAATGACAGGCCCGGAGGTGGTCACCCTGTATTTAATTACAGACCTGCTATAACATGGGTAATGTCAGTGTAAGGTCATACCAAACCCACACTATGCTTCTCTTTTGATCTAAAGATGTGAGAAGAGTTCATTCTCGGTAGCTTATTCATTTTTGACCTCATCTCACTGAAGAGCTCATAAGCCCTAGTGATGAACATGGTATAAATACCTAGGCAGACAAAAGAAGCTCCTATCCAGTGAACAGCCATCAGACAACAAGGATTTTCTTTTACTAGTAGTTGTGGCTAGATGAACTAACCCTGCTACCTAGAAATAAATGACTCAGTATCTTATTATTTCCAGTCTCCTGAGCCAACTGTCCCCTTTTGTAGGACTTTAAATTTAATTAATCTACCTTGACAATGGTAGCATAAAATCAGTCTGTCCATAAAGATTCAAGCTATTTGACTTTAAATTGATCTTTGCTGGAGTGGCAAAGGTTACCCTAATTTCAAACTACCAACCAAATGCACATCTTACTGTAAATTGTAAACTGTACACCATATCATGGAAAGGGGACCAATGCCAGTGGTTTCCCTTCACTTTGCAGGGGGGAAAAGGTACCTGCCCCAGGAACTCAAACTCCTTGGTTCTTACTGGTGCAGAGCAGAGCAGTCTCCTTAGCCCTGGTAGTTGCTGCTGCAAAAGCCATGGCATGGGGCTGCTGCTACAGCACCACAGGCTCCCTGGGGAGCCACCTTTCAGATGCACCCACCTAAGTGGCCTACTGGAGCTGGTGCCCCATTCATCCACACCTTGTTACATTACTGACCAATGCACTTTTATCATCCTACATAGAGCCCAGTTGATGTTGATTGAAAAAGTGTTGGGTGATTTGGGGCTTCAGAGGAGGTGTGCTGAATAAAAAAGCTATGGAAAGGGAGACACCACCTGTCCCCAGAGGGAAAAACTCTGCTGTTTTTCACAAGGGATTCTTTCAGATTAGGATTCAGCTATTTATTTCCACTTGAACAAGAAGCTTGCTGCCAGGTGTCAGCACTCTTGACTTCTCCAAGGTTTTTAAGCCTCATGGACAGGGAGCAGTGTCCAGGAGTTAAAGCTGACAGGCAGACGGACTTTGTCTTCTGGGAGGAAATAGGTGCATTTGCGTTACAAAGTTGTGATGCAGCTTCATTTCTCTGGGGTACATAACCACAACTCTGTCTTGACTGGAAAGTAAAAATATTTTTTTATAGATAGTGGTCTTTGTCTAAAGATGTTCAGGGATTGGTTTTTCAAGTGAGACCCTGGAAATGTTCAGTAGCAGCAGGCATTTGTCATGCAAATTTTGTTTTGTTGAAAAAATAATTTTCTGTCAATAAAAACCTTTTGATAGAAATGTGTTGCATGTTGGAAGACTCAGAACTGCACAAAACTTCATTGAGCATGTACATGGGCACAGGTGTCTTCACATGAGTCTCATATTACAGGATTATGGCTTTTTGTTGGTTATTAGGCTGTCACTTAAGCCTGGGGATTGCAGATGGAAAGATCTAATGTTTAGGCTGCTAGCCTATTATGACCTAAGAGACCTAGGTTCAATTCCCTTTTCTGCCACAGACCTACAGGTGACCATGGGTGAGTTACTTAACTTCTTTGTACCTCTGTCCTCTCTTTGTAAAGGAAGGTAGTGAGATAGTCACACAACTGTAAGATAGATAGCTCTTAACACTTTATTTTTTATCAGTACTAATAGGGTGAAAAAGAGCCCAGCAGAATCTCCCTGTAATGAGCCAAGGGCAAAAACTGCTGTTTCTACAGAGAGGTAGGTCTGACCGCTCAGATCACCTCTGACAACAGAAGTCTTTCAGGCTCCTTCTGAGAAGATGCCTTTTTGACCCATATAACTGACAGTACGCAAGTTTTGTGGGAGGCACCAGCCTGTCCCTTCAGCCTCTGCTGTTGCATTCACTCCGATTCATTTCAAGCATAAAGTGCTAGAGTCTAGCTTAGCATGTTCCTTCTGTACAGGAGGCACTCTCACCAGATCAGGGGGAGCTGTATGAGACATGGCAGCCTGCTGTCACCTGAAACACTCCCTAAGGCATATTTCCTGCAAGAATCCAAAATTATCCCAAGTAAAGGAGTTGAAAAGTCCAGAGGGATTTTGTGTGTGTAGAGGTGGGGGGGAGGGTAAGGAGCAGGGGTGGAAATCTAGCTTTTGAATTTGGTTTTATTATCATCTGCATGGGGTGGAACTGTTTTCCTTCACTTGAGTTGTTTGAAATTCCTGATTCTATCATCAAAGATATTGTTGAAAGTGTAACTGAGAATTTTTATTTGCTGGAAATAAAGTGATTCGGTAAATTATTATTTTTATAATGGTTTCAATCAATTTTTAATGAAAATGGTTAATATTGGCATAATTTTTCATTTAAAAAAATCTGAAAAAGGCTGTTTTTTAAAAATGCGAGTAGAAAAAAACCTTTATGCTCACAACAATTTTGACCAGCTGCACTGCTGAATTATTTTTGCTTGGCAGCTACACTTTCTTCTTTGCTCTATTTTGTAGCACTGATGCAGGCAGTAAAAGCCAAACAACCAGAACCTGGAGTGAAACTAAACTGAGGAGCTCCAGTTCTACTGAACACAGGTACAGTGCTTAAGATATGTCTTTTGAACCATAATACAGAGCAACTAGAACATACCACCAATGGGACTGGGTTTTCATCATGTTGATAGAAAACTTGCTTATATGTGAGCTGCATGACTGCGGTACAGTGCAGTCATGAAACAATCAATTCCATAGTCTGGTGGCTGTAACACTAAAGAGGGAACTGAGGAGACATCTTATAATGTTATTAAAGAGTTAATGTTTTAATTTAAATGTCTCTGATATGAGTCTGTTTCATGATAAGCTAAGTACCCAGCAAGTACCCAGAACACCCACACTGCAAACTAAAGCCAGTAATGACCGTAGGTAGCCAGCAGCTCTGGGCCTTGTTGCATAGTAATTTTGGGTGGTTTCTAGAGCTCTTGATCCCTGGATTGTCTGCACATTAACATCTTAAAGCAGTGGTTCACAACCTTTTTCCTACCAGGACCTATTTGCAAAGATCCATGGCCAGACCCTCTTGGTCCTGCCAGTGTCTGACTCCCTGCCCCCCAGGCCATGCTGGCAGTACTGTAGCAAGGGAGGGGCAAGAAGGGTAACTGTCCCAGGTGCCAAAGCAAAGGGGCGCCAACAGGCATTGCTCAGTCAGGGTGAGGCATGGGACAGAGCCACAAGCAGCTCATTTTGGGGGTGAGGATGTGGGGCCCCTGCGTGTATTCCCAGGCAAGCATGGGGAGCATGTGCCCCCCAGATTTGTGCATGGGGCAAGGGCGGGCTGCCACTGCAGGTTTGCCCCAGGCACCAAACTTTCTTGCTATGTCACTATATGCTGGTGTCCCTTGCTCCAGACCCCTGCCCTCCCAGCCCTGCCAGAGGGGTCCGCAGTTGCCCCCATCCTACTCAGGCCAGAGCATGGTGGCTGCGGCAGCTCTGGCTCATGTGGACAGCAGCAGAGCAAGTCCAGCCCCAGCACAGGATGGAGGGAGAAGAAGGAGAGGCCTGTGGCACTCCCCTGCCTGTCTTGGGCTGGGGCTACTGCACCGGGTCAGGCAGTCTGGTCATGGTCCCTCCCATCACCCCAGCAGCATCTTTGGGCCTCCCCACACCTGTGAGCATAAGCACTGGCCCCAGTGCTGCCAGCCTGGTCATGCAACTCTCCCCCACCCCCTTAGACCACTAGAAGGGGCAGGTGCCTTTCCACCACCCACTGCCCTGCTGCAGCTCACAACCCTTTGAAATATTCTTGTGACCCACTTTTGGGCTGTGACCCATGGGTTGAGAAACACTGTCTTAAAACACTTGTTTTGCCGTTTGAAGTTACATAACTCCAAGGCAGGGTTATCTCTTGATCTGCACAGCCCAGCTCCTGTTCCATTAAGGTGTGGCCACTTCTCACAGATATGCTGACCAAGTTGAAGGTGTGACTGCTCCAAAGCACTAAGCCATTCAACATTTGTGCAGCTCATAGCGTCAGGTGTAACGAGGCCCTCTGATATTTAGGCCCTCAGTAAACAGCACCTGTCTCCTTCAGCTAAGAGGTCAGCACCAAAAAATGCAGTTTATGTCTTCTGAACTAAATGTGCTTTCATTTTAACCTGATCCCTGCATTGTGTATATCATAAACCTAGTAAACTATTTCCTCCCCCCTATCTTGCTCCAGCACCTGCTCTGACTGATTTGAATTGCATTTTACTTGCAGAAATGGTGAAGACAGACAGCCCCCTAATGAGAAGTCCTCAGCAGAAATCAGGTCACAGTATGGGAAAAGGTAATGAGTTATGAAGGATAATCTGTGCTGCTTAACACAAAACATTCAGAACTAGCACCTATCAGTGGTTGCTGGAGAGTTATGCATCCAGGCCATCCTTCATAAGCACCCTTTATGGGTGAGTTACACTTAATCAGGATTTTCTATTCCTTCCTCTTTCTCCCTCACAAGACCTCCTATTTGGCTTGGTCTTTACAGGACCTACTTAGTCTGATGCACTCTCACTATTTCCACCAGCAAGCTTTGTATCTGCCAGTTACAGAGAGAAGAGGTGCTTAGAGCTTGAGTTACTATGGCTTCTTCCAGTTCTGATTCTGAGTCCATCTATCAAATAGATCAGGACTGTCCAACTTCTAAGCAATTGGGGACTAAATACCCCATTGACTGAATCAGTGAAAGCCTCGCATCGAGGAGCTGCTATTGGGTGAGCCATGGGCTCCCCCTAGGCTGCATGCTATGCAGACACCCCACCTTGCTGCACTGTACACCCTCCCCACTGCTGCATCATGAACACTCAACTGCAATACATGCCTGCATGGCCCCAGGTTCACCCTCAGCTACCCTGGCTGCAACACATTTCACTTCCCTGCCCCCTGGGGCAGGGGAAGGCAGTTAAAGCTGGAGGAGGGAAGGGGAACCCAGAGACTCTGGCTGCAATAAGCAATGGAGGAAGCAGTGGCCAGGCAGAATCCTGGGGGCTGCAACTTAATCCCATGTGGCCACATACAACCTGCAGGTTTATCATAGCTGGACTGCCCTGCATGAGATACAGGTTTCTCTTGCTTTATGTAGGTTTTGGATATGCAAATTTGCTCTTATGCAATGACCCCTTTTCTACCCAAAATTCATTATATGTGAGGTAAATTCGCTCTTTCTTCTTTTGTGATCAGCAGCAGGTAAATTGGTGGGGGCAGGGGAAAGGGCCATGGGTGGGGTGACAGATTTGAGGCTCCAGGAGTGAGGGAGGGAGCAGAGCACAGGCAAGAGCACGAGCTAGGGTGAGTTGGGCCTCAATCTGCACCCCCCACCAGTGATGGGGGAGGGAGTAAGGCTGGGGCTGGGGCAGGCGCTGCACAGCCAGGGCGGGGCGTGGGACAAGGTGCACACAATGTTCCCTCTAATGCATAGCGGTGTAAGGTGTAAGGTACACACTGCTTTGGTCCATTCCTGTACATAGTGTAACAAACATACGACCACTCAAATAGTAATTGAGTTCTGCTTAAGCACTCTCATATATTATTTGAATAAGCCTGATGGGGCTCTGTAATGTGTGTTAAGGACAGCAGCAAGGTATTGTGTTTATGCGGTATTATACATTCATGAACAGATTTAAGAGGTAAAATTGTCAGTTGTCACAAACAGCTAGAGGGTTTGGGTCTGATTCCCCTCACACAAAATCAGATACCAACATAACCTCAATACCTGAGTGTCTATTGATGAAGAAATTCCTATAGGTACTTACATATTGAATTAAATAGCTTTACCCAAACATTGTGCCAAAGAAAAGTAAAATAAAGAAAGAGGTAAAAGAGTTCTGTGTACCACTAAAAGTCATGTGAATTGCTTATATGCAATGGTTTCCTTCTATGGTGTTTATAGGTCCATATTTTCTTTCCATCTGTGCCTTTGCAAATCAGCAGTGACTTTATTGAAAAATAGAAACTTACAGTGGTGTAAAACTTTTATGAGAGGGAAATCACATGCAGGGCTGGCCCATAATCTTTGGGGAACCCCTGCAAGATGTAGTTCTGGGGTCCTCAGATCCTTCCCTGGGGCCAGGGAAGGGGCAGGAGCGGAGCCAGGAACTCCTCCCCCGCTTGGCTGGTAGCTAAATGAATGTCCTGGCACACTGGAGGCAGCGGAAGAGGTGACGGTCAGAATTTCCAGCTGCAACAAGGTAAAAAAAACAGTTGGTGCAGTTCCCCGGTGCCACGAGCAGACAGTCTGCCCCAGCCCCCGTCCCCGCCTCCGCCTCCGCCTCGCCTCAGCTCAAGGAGGAGCTGTTGTCTAAGGAGTGAAGAACTTATCTCTAGTAAATATCCCACGCCAGCCCCAATGCCTCTGCCATGCTCTGCGCCCAGCTCCTCTCCGGACAGGCACACGGCATTAAAAGTTTTTAAATTATGCGTGTACCTTGGAGGGAACCTCGGGTGTACAGCTCCTGCTGGTATGGGCTTCTGCTGCAGCCAGAGGCCACACCGGGCTCTTCTCAGCGGGGGCTGGGATGGGCTGTGCTTGGGGCAGGCAGTGGCACAGAGGGTGTGTGCACACGCACACAGGCAGGGGCACAAGGCGCGTGCAGGTGGGGGAAGAGGGCATGTGCACAGGTGAGGGCAGAGGGTGCACACATGTATATGTGTGTGTTTGTAGGGCAAGTCCCACATATACACCCTTATGATACACATGCACCCATACCCCCCTCGCACTGCCATGCACGCAGACACCCACACCCCTCACACACCCCAACCACCCTCCCCCACACACAAAAACCCCCACAAACCCCATACCCACCCACACCCCACATATCCACACACACATCTACATGCTTCCTCACCCCACACACCCACAGCCCCCCACAAACCTACACCCACCCCCCCACAATATACAAGCGTAAGACTTCCTTTTAAGCTATTGTGTAATCACCTCTATGAACGCTACACAAACACATGTAAACCAGGGCAAAAATATTTTTTGAAATGAAATTAATTAATGTTTTAGATGTTTGCTTTTTAGAATATAATTTGATATTTTTCTGGTTCTGAGATGGCAAAACCCCTTAATGAAAGGGATTTCTGGTGTTAAAGGTCAGTTGTTAGGGGGCTAGACATCTGGTCACAAAATGGTGACCAGGGGGTGGAGCACCTGGCAAGGGGTGGGGCCAGCCATGCAGCCCTCAGCTTGCCAAAACTCAGTAAACAGTCCTCCACCCAAAATAATTGCCTGCCCTGTTCTAGATCTCACATATCGTGTGTAGAAGGTGATTCTCCGTGCTATATAGTTTGCCTTTGCTAGTTTTTTTCAGGAGATAAAGGTTCCTTTCTGGATAGGAAAGAACACTGCTTTAGCCAGGGAAAAAGCAATGAGACACTTAGCTTGTTCTACCAACAGGCTAACCAGGCTGCACTCCCTTCTCCTCATTCAGCTCTCTTCTGCTTTTAACCTTGGTCACATCCACTGGTCCACTTCAGGTCCTATTTCTTGTACACAGATAAGCTCTGACTATGTTCTCTAGC